AATTTGGTTTAGAACTATACTTTTCAACCGAATATTATAATTTACATATGTATTTTTAATAAATACCTGGGTTTTCTTGATTAATTGGACAAGTTCAGCGACACCACCTCGATCTCCGGCAGACATGCCATCAACCTCATCCATGATTATAAGAGTTCTATTCATTTTTCGCGCCTTCAAAACAGAATCATTAAACAAATAATACTTTCTTTAGATTAATTCAAAGTATCACTAATTTTACCTCGGCTGTAGATCGAAAAAATCCCATGATAGAGGTGTTGCGCGTGGCTGTTTTGACAGCCATCTAACAAATATTAAGTTAATGAAATAACGAAAAATAAGTAAATAAATAAAGTAATTCATTGAACTATAACATACTTCCAGCGCTTTTTTACTGCGAGTATCACTAGCGTTAAATTCCTTCACATCATAACCTTCAAGTTTACCAACTAAATGTGCAGCTGTAGTCTATATAAATACATTATTTAAATATTTGCAAAATATATTAATAGAACTCGAAAATTTCATGTCGTGTTTAGTACCTTGCCAATTCCTGGAGGACCAGATATTAGAACAGCTGGAAAGCTTGAATTAAAATTGAAGCCATTTTTTAGATTCGATTCCCTGAAGATTATTCGATCAAAAACAAAACCACTTAAGACATTTTTTCTACCAAAAAACATCCAGTAATTATGACTTAACTTACCAAGCCTTAAGCCATTTTTGAAGATTTTCAACGGCAGATTTATTACCGCACACCTCTTTGAGGCTTTTTGGCTTATATTTGTCAGACCATAATTGATATAGAATTTCTCTAAAAAAGAAGTCAACTGTAAGAGAATAAAGGAAAAATACATTCTATTCTATAAAAATCAATGTAAATACATACGTGCTAGAAGTACTGGAAGTAACGGGTATTGGTTCGGAAACTTCCATGACATCTGAAGCACGTGATTTTCCTTTCGTAGAACTTGGTTGAGAGGGTTCAGATTGCTGTGCAGGAGCGTTTCTTATGAGGTCTAATAATTCATCTTCGGTTAGAGTCGGAATATTATGCTGTTTGATCTTTTCTAGTTTCTTTGGACCGGGGTTGTCACCAACAACAACATAAGTTGTACGTGAACTTGGCAGTAGGGTGACTTTTCTAAAATAAGAACTTATATAAAACCTCGCATTGCACATTTCTATAAACTATTTCAATACTAACCCTCCATAACGTTTAACAAGGTCCTGAGCGTCCTCTCTAGAAAGAGATTCCAAATCACCAGTAAAGACAAATGTTTTTCCCTATAATAACAGATATTGTAACCAATTAAAAAATAAAAAATAAAAAAAAATAAGGAAAGGAGCAAAATTAAAAGAGAAAACCTACTAATAAGCAATTTTCTGCGCCTTCAGGTATTTCTTTTTCTTTGGATTCTGGTGCGGGAGAATCAGTTTTCGGCTGCTTTTTTTTGGGAGCCTCTGAATAAGAATCATCTTCCTTCACTCTCTTAGACGATTTAGATTTAACAGGATCCGTTCTTGGTTCCTCGGGAACATTTTCACTTTGATCGAGATTAGAATCAGATTTTGAAGTCTTTTACGCGTGTGTAAAGTGTAAAGCTCGATCAGTGACATGATACGCGAAATAAATAAAATAAAAAATCCTTTAGATACCTTCTTCGCGTGTTTCTTTGTGTTAGAAGCACCACCAGGTGCATTAAAGTACTTTCGAATATCCATCTTCGCCTTTAAAATAGAGATAAATTAAAATGTAACCAGTGGAAAAAATTGAACCTTATATCTGTTATTGTCATCTGATCCGATGATTTGATTAATGATTTAATCCAATAATATGAACGAAATTTCCTTTTATCCTTGCAAATGACTACACCTGCTGTGTCGACACTTAAGAACCTTTATACGCATCGTACCGCAACAACAGAACGACAATGCTTTATATGCAATCAATTTACGAATGCGGTTTTAACAACAGATAATGGGTTAGATTGGTTTTATACTTGCACTAGGTTGGTTTAATGCAATTTTTTTTAAATAATGAACAATTATCTTTTTTTCATAGGCTTTCGATAAACGACAAAAAAAATAAAAAAATAAATAAATAAAAATGCTAGCACAAGATTTGTAACTATAAATTTATGACTAACATTTGGACCTTATTTTCCTTAAAGTCACTTGAACGATCGTGGGTTCGCAACGGCAGTTCCAGAACCAGAAAAAAAACTGCCAACCCCACCGCCGAAATCAACCGAAAAAAAAGAACTCACAAAAAAAGAAAAAAATGTAGACAAGACTGCTGAAGACGAAAAAAATAAGGATTTGACAGAGACCAAAAAAGAGAAGGATGAAAAGAATAAAGACGAAAAAGATAAAGATGAAAAGTGTAAAGACAAAAAAGAGAAAGATGAAAATAGTAAAGACAAAAAAGAGACGAACAAGGAATCACCAGCACCCATCCCATCACCACCTAAGCCAAAACAGTATATCTTACATAGAGATATATTTTATTTACGAGAATCCAATTTTAACAAAAAACGACGAGAAAAAAAA